ACTTCTGAAACATCCAGGACTTTAAATGCCAACACTAGAAGTGGGAACAATCTGCACCTCAAATCACGTCATACAAAACCTTAAAAATGTTAGTTCTTCTTTAGCTTTAGCAGAGCAGAAGAGCTACATCAGCCCGTGTTCCAGAAGGGTGAAAAATCAAGTAATTTTCAAGCAGACAGCAGGTATTACAAAACAGAGCAGAGCTAAGGGTTACTGGGGAGTGCATGCACCTTCCACTCCGAGCACCAGCATGGCACGGTATCACCAAAGCAGTTAGGACTAGTGACAGCTGCCGATCAGAGCGGCAGGCCCGTGGCCACCCACCACCGCCACTGGCCTGCCGATCAGAGCGGCAGCCCTGTGCCAACCTACCACAGCCATGTGCGCTTAGTCTGCTCGGATAAGCACCATGTACAAATGCTTTTTAAAGCCCATCAGGAACAGCAAAAAGCCTCCCCTGTTGATTTGCGAAGGCTGCGATCAAGGAAAGAAACCAGATTCTGTTTTTTCCTCGGGAGCAGCTCCTGATTTGGGGTTGTTTGGGGTTTTCCCCTCCCTCCAACAGTGCAAGGCAGACTGACTCTTTTGTCTTCTATAATAGAAACTGGAATGAAGCGAAGTTTTGCAGGGACTGATGCAGACCACACCCCTGCTCTTCCCTGCATCCTCTTCAGATGAAGGGCTAAAACAAATGCTTTTAGTTTTTTGCCCCACATTACCCTTATCCTTAGGGTCTGTCCACCCACCTACTGTCAACTGCCACTTGTAGCAAGTTCTGGAGCGCAGCACAAAGTAAATACTGCTCTTAATAACAAAAACCCCCCTTGAGATGACATGCACCAAGAGAGAGTGTCTTCTTAGGTCTCGGTCTTCAAAGTTCTAGTCGTTCTGTTAAAGCAGAACCCGGACTTGAACCATTTCTAAAAACAGCTTTGACAAAAAATACACTTTGCCTTTGCCCAGCTTTGAATAGTTCAGATGCAACACCAGAGTATAGCATTTTGTCAGATAACCAGAAAACCGCAAAGAACAGAGTTGCAAAAATACACGTCATCGCTGGGGATGGAAGAACACAGTCTACTTGTACTATTTTACCACGAATTTCCTGTACTGAGTTTTCCATGCAGTTCTCCAGTCTGACCGCCTGAGAGCAGTCGGGCTTCGCAGTACGAAGCCTCCAAAGCAGGAACGCCCAATACCCCATTCCTCCCCCAGACAGCTGCCTAGCAAAACCTTGGTTTGGGAGGTCGTTTCAGAATTCTGGATTCACAGCCGTCTTACCTGATAAGCATCAGGTAAACAAAAGGAAATTCTCAGCATTCAGCTATTTCCCTATGAGATGATAACACCACTGGACAGATAAGGCAAGCATAGCAGAGCTAACAGTGGGCAAGTATTCGAGTGGCCTTTTGTATGAAAATTATTTGTTCAAAGGGAAGAAAAAGAGAAATCTCATTGTTTCTAAAATGCCATCAATTAAGGTGCAGCTGTAGAGTAATTTTCAAAACTAGCCACTATGATTCACAAAGAAAGGGTAACTTCAGAGGGACTTTGGTCCCACGGTTCTATCTCTGTGTAACAGATGAAATCCTGGCGTTCAGTGGGTTGTAGACAGGCTTTGACTGAGCACGGAGAGCAGAACCTATCACACCTCTTCTGAACGGACACGTCTGCACTGAGGAGGATGAAAAACTTGGGAGCCTCTGGCTCTGGACAGACTATGTTCCTCTTGGCTGCTTGCATTTCTGTGATGCAAGTGCTGAGAAGCTAATTCAGCAAGCACCAGCACAAGAAGGTGACAGCATACCCGATGGCAAATTCTTAACCCTGTATTCACAGCCAGCCCACGAAGTTCCAGTTTGAACATCATCGCCTCTCTGCAGCCAGTGCCGCCCAGCACTGGTGGAACACCAGTGTCTGTCTTCCCTCCTTCCTTAACGAAGGGCCACATGATAGTTGAAGGTATTAATCACCATCATCATCTAGAGATTTCTAAGCTCAAACTCCAAGACAAGTTAATTTTCTCCCCAAACCCAGAAGAATCAGCAGTAATATGCCCACATGCCTTTAGCAAGTTATAACAGAAGATGGCAAACCCGAGGGACAGCCGGTGCCTGTAGCTGAAGGGTGAAAACAGAGCTGTCCTGGGATGGTGTATGGCCAAGGAGGCTTTTCATCATTTACAATTTATGACCCCCTGGCCCTCATCAACTCAACACCCAATCATTGGCATCATCCTTTGCAGCTAGACAATGAAGGGGTAGCCATCCAGACTGTCTTCAGTCCAGGACTGAGTCAGGTACCACAACTCATGACCCTTCACCATCAGAAAGAGGTAAAAATTCCAGACCCAGCACAGTAATTTTTCCCAAAATACTTGGATCCGAAATAAACGAGGGAAACACTACATAGGGCAGAGGGACACTGCATACACAAGCCATGGATGCAGCTTATGCCCAGTATGGTATTCAATCGTTACATCCGTTACATCAAGCCTATCCGTTACATTCATATCCGTTAAATTCATATCACATCAGTGTCATCTCAACCCATAATGTCCAAGCCAGAGATGTGTTCTTCCTTCACGTTAGTTAACGCAAAACAGTCTTCAGAAGAGCAGTGAACTTCATACTGTAACTAGCTAAAATGTGGAAAAAAACCACAGTCAGCAGAACATCCAAGATGATACTTCGCTCTTAACCCGATTAACACTTTTTGGGAGTTACTATTTTATATAAATCTTTACTAGGATTTGGTCACCTATTATTTCTATGATAAGAAGATTATAAGAGAAAATTATAAGCTATTATAAGAGAAAACTCTTACAGAAAAAGCAATGCCCATTAAAAGAAGAAAAGCATAGGTTGAAACAAGCTTCAGAAAGCCATGTGGTTTCCTATAACAACTCTTGACTTGTTCATCTCTTTCCTTTTTCTTCCTAACACAAAAGCTTGTGTCAGGGATACCAGCACTCAGACTGCATGGGGAAGGCCAAAACAGCATTTCAAGCTTGCAACGATTTGTGCTTTTCTTTAAACAGTAGCACTGGGAACATAAACTTTTGTTCTTTTACAAATGCAAGTTACTTCCAACAGGAGTAGGAACTTCAAGACAATATTCATAGTAAGATTTTACAGTGAGCTCTTTCTTTTCACAGCTAATTAAAGTCTCCTCTTAGAGGGCTGCAACCATACTCATCATGAAAGTCCCCATTTCTAGCCCACAAATAAACCTAACCAGGCTACACGTGTCGCTCCAACCGCAACCAAACCAATGCATAAATGCTGCACAACAAGCAATGGACTTTTGCTGCTGTTAAAACTGAGAGAAAATGGACGCTACTGAGTTTCATACATAAACGGCTTCTTATTTACAGACTGCCAACGCCACTTTTTCTCCCATTTGACAGGCTTGGATTCAGACGTCCCACACTTCTGAGACCAAAGATCCCAACATAAGTCAAATTACCTATGATCTGGAGGCTGTGCAGAAATGAGCATTCATCCAGATTGAAACGAAACTGGAAATCCAGGAACACAGAACATTTTTCTAAAACAGTTTAATAAAAAAATTGTGACGTTTCTTGAAAAATTGAAGAAACCCAAAGCATATCGTGTGTGCCACCTGCCTTAGTCACAAAGAAACACAATTGTCAAAAAAGATATTTAAGTTTAATACAAATTTTATACAAAGAAAATGTGAAAAAATACTTCCATATGCTAAAAGCAATTATGCTTCACAAATAAGGCCAGCTAGGCTATTTTTGACACAACTGCAATTCACGAATATTCTGTTCTTACTTTTTTTTCTAATACTTTTTTCCCTCTATTATGGGTACTAGCTGGAGACTGTACAAACCGCATTCTTTTATAAACAATGGGAGAAATCAACATGACTAAAATGTACAACAGAATGTACTGGAATGATATCATACAATTAATTTTCTCATATACATACATCACCTTTGCTTTGTTCAATGCTTTCGTTTTACACAACATACAAAATGGTACTACAGTATAAGTGTAACAGACAGCGTTTTCAGGGGTTACTTTCTCTCATACTGTACTGTTTCATGCTTACATAAAAACATAAATTCCATCATATAAATAATACATGCTCTGGCCCAGCATCAAAAGTCCTTTGCCCATGTTTCCCGATCCATGTTTTTCTCCACACCTAGTTCTTGTTCCATTCAAAAAGCTTTTCAAAGTCCTTTTTGGAGGATTTTAAAAATGAAAACTGAACTGTGAAGCATAGGAAAAAAACTTGACTTTTCTCAATCTTTGATATCAGTGATCAGAAATCATGCTGCGACCAGCTGGTATTACACTCCCCAACTTTTCGGATATTAGATTGAAGGAAATTTTAACTTAGTTGTAACCTATAAACAACATAAATTTTAACAGCCTGGTCATTGTAAAACCCAATGTAAATCTTTATGTATTTCAGGTCCACAGATTGGAAATGTCATAATTTGCCTAATGCAATTTACTGAAGAAAGACACCTTTCATCATTTGGTTGCTCAAAGAAATGCTACAAGAGTTTCAAAGTGCAGAATATTTTTTCAATCCAAATGCAAATCAAGTTGTTCAGTCTCTCATGATTATCTTATCTGATGCATAACTGCAATTTCCCAAGATCAGTTTTCAGTGTTAGCTTGCGATACGTCTGTTTTAAACCTTCCTTTTCCAACTTCAAACACTCTTTATAAGTTAAAGTCAATACAAATATAAAAAGGAGATGGTACTCTAACTTTAATGACATCCACAAATTGTACAGTATTTACAAAAGAAGCATAGATTTAATATGGATCTTACCTGTCCTCAGCTTTTCTAAGCCAGCGCTAATGCTTTACATTAATGTAGTGTAGTTAATGCTTTGTACACATATACAAAGCTAAAGTCTGAACCTTTGAGGTTAATCCAAAGAACTGTGTTTATTTTTCACATTTCTATTAGATTTATTTATTCCAACAATTGTATGGACTTCTTGTTAGCAGTTAGACTCTTCGTACTTGGACTGGCATTGTGGTCTGAACATACTGAACTCCAGTTCTCATTGCCACTGTCCCAGCAGAAGGACTTACCACTACAGGAATGGTCTGTGGATTAAAACCAAGAGAAACATATTGTTATGTTAAAGGTCACATAAACATGACCACAGAAATAGAGATTTATTTGCCAGGGAAAATCCAGAACAAGTTCCAATTTTGTGCAAGAGTAATACCTTTATTACCGCATTACCACCTCATTCCAAGGTAGAAATGAGTGTATTACTTTCCTATAGCCAGGAGTTTTTCTGTATTACTATTACTGTGTAAGTACAGGGACAGATGGTCCTGCAGGTACTGTACACACTCTGTCTGTGCTTGGAGAATGAGGTTTTCATAGTTACTACATCCAGTTATGTATCTTCCCCAAACTCATACATGGGCAGAGGAAAAAGGGCTAAGAAAATCCTTTGTCATTTGAAAAAGTTTTGACAAATCAAACTGGAGTACAAAAATACCCTTGTTTATAAGTATATTCTTGTTAGACGTTACTTAAATCTTTTTCCCCAAAAGGAACTCCCCCATGCATTCAGTCTACACAGAAGAGAGCAAAGAACATCCATCTGAACAAAAAAAGTACTCAAGGTAACTTCTGCACAACTCAGTAACAAAAACATCAGCATTACTGGGAACTGTCTTATACACCCTGTAAAAATATTAATATAGAATAAACTTTTCACTTCCATCACACAGATGATGATTTATAAATCTTGACAAGTGAAGTTTCAGGACATCTCTATAGGTGGCAATTGATTCTACAGATGCAGAGACAAAGGCACAAAAATGTTAAATAATCTGGTCAAGGTCACATCACTCTGGAAGATCTGGAAAAGGATTTATTGAATCTTAAGTCTATATCTTAACCTTCCTCCAAAAACGTGAGAAAGTCTAGAAATGTCTATACCATACAAACTGCAAGTGTGTTTTGATACAGTTCCAGTGATGCACAACTGGTGAGCAAACGGATGCATCCATTTCAGTTCACAATATTTTGTGGAAGAGACAGGAAGTGAGACCTTGAGGAATCTGAAAGGAATGCACAGATCTTCCCCCTGATGGCAGTGTGACAGTCCAAGGAGAACATGGAAGAAGAAATACAAGTTCACTGAAGCCCAATGTTTCCCCACACTGTTTTAAGAAACCACATTAGTGTCTTAATGATAATCAGTGAAGATTGTGAGTATCCCTACTGAGATGGATTACAGCCTAGAGCGTTTATCAGCTTCTCTGTGACAGTCTATGCCTTCCAGAAGCCTACTCATTCCATTCCCTGGAATGCAAAGACGATGAATTCATATTTTTACATTATTTTAACTGCAGAAAGAATAAAACTCAAACATGGAACCAGTTTTCTAAATAAATTCAAGATTACTGCCATTTTGTAATGATTTTAGATGTGTATAGAGGGTTCAATGGAAACGGTACTCAGAAGATACACTAGAAGTTGTTCAGAGGAAGAAATTCCTAGTTGGAAACAAAGTGCAAATTGAACCCTAAAGAAGCCATTGTGCAGGTCACTGTTAGTACTACAGGTGGGGAAATTAAGGTTGCCACAGTCACCTTTTAAATATACACACTTACACAAATGAAAAAATTAAGTTTCAGTTCTTACAGCAATAGGGATATGGAATGTGCAAGACTCCTTAAATGTGTTAAGATCATTCCCTGAGAGGTAAATTTTCCACCTCTGCCAGTTTTACACATATGTACATTTTGCATACATATTAAACATGCACTAAGGTTTAAAATTATTTAAATTGCACGTGCAGTCATTAGAATACAGAGGTGTCTGTAGCTGTGCAAGACTAATGCAAATGTGTACAGAGTTTTAAACATGCACAAATAAAGGTTGAAACCTTTCAGACGTTCCAGTTATGCTTTACATAACGCAATACACTTTCTATTACAGAAAACCAATGAAGGTAACTGCCACTTTTCTGAATATTACACAAAACCACCTTATGATCTTACAACCTCTCAGCTATTCACAAAAGAGCCTAACATCTTTGATGTTTACTATTTGATTTTAAAACACATATTAGAACCTTGTTACGGTAATTCAGCCCAAGCAACTTAGGGCCAACGCTGCAAAGGTGCACAGTGCTCTCAGTTCAGACAAAATGAGTGCTAGGAATGTGAAACGTCATGATCCTCACTAAGAGCAGTAACATTTGTGTGGAATATAACGGCTATGAAATACTGTACGTGTGTGTGCCTGTATCCATAGACATACACACACGCAGGCATGTGTCCTGCAGCTGGGGGGAGTGCACGCACACACGTGGGCGTGCATACACAAGGATAGAGAAAAACAGTAACTTCTGTAGCAAATCGGGCCTCACAATCACAGTGTGATTAAGGTACACTGTTAAATCAGTACGTAGCTACTATTATAAATTATCTAACTTCAGTCAGAAAAGGAGCCGAAGTTATCCACATGTGGGCTTCCCTGTTGAACCCACCGCTGAGACAGAGCTCTCTGCTGTTCAGTGACCAGTGCAGTAGCAGCATACTTCCTTTTGGTAAGAAGAATGTCAGCTCAGATGCCCCGCTGACTCTGAAGTGAGCACTGCAGAACACGACCAGTTGAAAGAATGGGATATTATGGTGCATAAAATACAAAAATTGAACTCACTTCTGTCCCACCTCCTGTGACTGACACTAGAGAGTTCAAGAGTGCTTGGTTAAGTCTTTGATGGAAAAACCCAGGTGTGATTCCAGTGCCATTTCTCATAACTTCATAACCCTAATGAGCAAGACTGCATGGGAGATACACCACTGATGAATGGATATTTTCTTTTATAGTTACTGAGATGTCACAGGAGTATCAAGCGTAGCTCAATTAATTAAATCTCTTCAGGATACCATAGACAAAAAAGATTTTTAAAAGATATTTCAAATGAATTCTATATATTTACATTGATGTTGTGGTCAAGTATATACATAAACAGAAATAACTAACATCATAATGTAAAGTGGAAGTCTGACTGTCCGCAGTTCCTTCACTATACTTAACGATAATTTCCGAATCCTTGTGATAATGAATGATGCAATGAAAGGGTGGAATGTTGCACAGCAAAATAAGACATTTTGCACTGCAAGTTGAGACTATACCAGTGAATTCATGTCTTGTTAGAACAGCAGACGGAGACAACCCCCCAGAAATACTGAGCAATTTTAATGCCAGGAACAGTACTACTGCAGACTTTAAGTGATGATATTGTACTTACAATTGTGGGTTGAGTAGTTGGAATATAGGTGGTGGTCTGCGGTACCTGGACCAGTTTTATAGGCTGGTTGCTTGTCACACCTGTTGCTATCTGCAGAGACAGCACAGGCAACCTCAGTAGAAGTCTCAGCTTTTACATAAATTCCACCTAGTTGTTATTATAATATGAAATTTATGTTGGATGTTTTGTTTGTGTTAAAAATTTGCATCTTAATGAATTCACAGGTTACTACTTTGTTAATAAAACAAAATTCAAATTATGAACATGATCAATGTATACAGCATGATGTTTCAGGTAGAACATCTCTGTGAAAGCAATTCCAGATTTGTATAACTGGAATATTCCCTGGCAAAAGTTCTAGGTAATTGTTTTTCTCCCATTCCCTATTTCCCCAGTAATACAAAGGTTGTGCTGCCACAGACAATGCATATGAACATTGACTGAGCCAGAGCATTCATGTGGAACAGCACGTCCTTTTTCCCCTCTTCAAATCTGTTTCCCAAGTTACTCCCTTAGGTGACATGTCAAGCCCAGAGATCTAACACCAGACAGTAGCAAAAGTGTCAAGAAATGAACACAGCTCTCTAGTTTACTATGCTTCCCAATTCTATAGGACTATCTCAATGAGACATCATGCTGGAATCACAATACTACAAAATTAGTTTGCTTTTAATATTTTAAAATACAACAAGGCTCCTACTGATGTGGGGGATCATGGGTAAGGGTTTAAAGGATCAGCCCCCCCCTCCCCTAAAATTTTTCATTTAATAAATCTTGCAAGGGCAGAAGAAAAACGATGCTGAAATTGCTAATAGTCAAGCCCTACCTATAAAGCAGAATCTTCTCTATAAACATTTTCTATATATGCAATGTTAAGTCCCTTTTATTAGAGCATTTGCTCATCCTTGCCTACTGAATACTATCAGAGTAGATGCTATGGAGGATTTCGTAACTGCACACTGCTCCGTTAACTGTAGATCCAGGTGAATTGTTGTATCAGTGCTATGGAACATTGTGGTACCCTAGTGGCAGTCTGTTGTGATAAAGTAAGTTGATTTGAATGCAGGTCTTGAGCTTGGCCTCTGAACCCCCAGGCAAGAAGGGCTTGGAAGTGCTGCAGTCAGTATTGCTTATCAGAAGGCAACTTGTATCGAAAGATCCAGACCAGAAGCTACACTGATGGGTCCTGGAGAGAGAGAGAGAGAGAGGTCCAGTCCCCTTTGGCTGGAAGGATGAGTCAAGCCAACACAAGGTTTTATTGGGAATGAGTGAAGGGGAAAGGGTGTTCCCAGAGGACAGAAGGAGATTTTTTTTGCCAAGATGAAGAAAAAACACCACGACTCCCTATCTCACTCCCCAAATCACACTCTGAAATATGCAAATTCCTGGCTGATCCAGGGAAACCTTTAGGGGTAGGTTTCAGAGAAATCTTACATACTATTTTTGTTCAAAGTGACCACAATGATACTCACTGTAACACTCTCTTTGCTTTTATCAGCTGAACCTTCCTTTTCCTTAGGGGTGCTGGCTGTTTCTGTGGGTGTAGGCTGCACACTTGAACTGGGCTGAGATGATTTATTTAATGTTTCTGTGCTAATTTCAGTATCTGTTTCTTGCTGTGTTGCAGTAGCTAAAATAAAGGCAAAAAGAGAAAGTAGCCACTACTCATGTGCACCAGTCCACAGTTGCTTTTTACAGGCACATCTGCACCCGTACAAATGAAGAACATTGAGTCACTGCGTATTGCACCCACCCTAACCCCCTCAGCTGTGAAACAGGCAACCATTACCTGACTGTGTGCAAGATTTCATATGCTCTGGCCAGTGAGCTTGCTGGCAGGGATAGTCACAGTAGCTAGTATTCCAACAGCAATAAAAAATGGCCTCTTTCTTGCAGTTAGCACACCACTGCTTCTTTTTAGTTTCATCCACTGCTTGCTGCTTTTCCAATTCCAGCTGCTTCTTCACCTCAGCAATCAAACGATCTCGTTCTTGTTCTAGACTCTGACGCATTTCAGCCATTGTCAGTTCTACTCAAAATGCAAAGAAAGAAGAGTTTTGCATTTTCTGCCCCCCAACAGCAAGGCACAAAGCATTAATTTTCATGAGTTTAAAGACAACATGAAATTAAAACTAACAATCAAAATATTCCCTGAGTTTGGGCATCTCTGTTTCATACCTACTCAACAAATGAAAGTCTTTCATCTTCTTTTCTTATCCTGGCACGATGATTTTTACCCTTAACCATTAACTTCCATCTGTCTTAACAGTTTAGTTCTAGATGTCCCACAAAGGATCAGAATTCAGGTGTACTAGGTGCAGCATAAACACAAAGAGGATGTGTGCAGCTGCTGCTGCTAACATACTTTGTTTTTACAGGCCCAAACTTTTGTTCCACTCCAATATTCAGAAAATACAGAGAATTATATTTCTTCTCTTGTCTCAGAAATAAGTTAACAGTGACAATTGCTCATTGTGCTTTGGTTTCTTTACAAAGAAAAATGTGAAAGTTCCAAGAGGGACACTGACAAAGTTGTAAAAACTCATCACTACATGAATAAAGTTGTAAATTTGAGCCTTACTTCAGGATTGCTCCAGGTGCCACCCACTATTAATGCAGTTATAAATTGATACCTCAGTGACTATGAGTGAGAGGACTTGACAGGATCTTCAAGAAAGTGCACAAATACAAAGAAAGCATTCTAATTCTAGCCACCTTGTCTCAGGATGAACTTTTGGGTCTTCTGAACAACTCTGAAGTTGACACCTTTTCAAAACACCGTTGAAGGTGTCTATTTCAATCAGTAGCTTAAGACTGGTGACAAAGGGTTTAAAGGATTTTTCTTTTATTTCTGAGCACACCCAGACATTCAGTTCTGTGAGTTGCAGACGAGTTGCTACCATACCCAAGTATTTCTGAAGAATGCTATGACTCAACTGCTGCAGTGGAAAGACTGGTCTAACCTGATTTGAGAGAGCAAAATGTTACTAACAAACCAAAGACATGAGTCTGAATATGGAGGTATTCAGCCCTTAATTCACTTCGATTCCAGATGTGCTCTGCAAAGAGAGAGTCAAAAAGTGGATGAGGACACTGTATTACACAGTCCTAAGGTTGTGTGGACTGCATGTGCTTAAAGGAGACTTGGTGACACAACTGCAACCTTCTTCCCACAGTCAGTGTATTAAAAAAGATAATTTAAGAGGAATCATGTTTTAATCATGGTTTCCTTTCCTGTCCATATGGTTGAGTGAATGCAGAGATGAAAATTCCCCCTCCTGGGAGGAATATTCTTTTATCTGTTTAAGGTAGTACTTTGGCTTTATTTCACCAGCAGTCTGGCACCAAGATTGAGTCAAGGTTGTGTAGTCACTTTAAGTAAATAAATAAGCATATACACCAACAGCTGATCTGAACCAAAATGCCAGCTAAAATCTGCAAAGATACCAGAGGAAGCAGGTTCCCCCAGTAGCTATATTAACAGAACCTGGTTCATATGAGAATTGGTATGAAATAATCAGCATAAGATATCTCATGAAGAGGGATTATCCAATGATGCATAAAATAAAATTATTCTGACCTATCAAAAGCTCTCTTTAGCCTAAATTTGTCTCAGAGGGCTGAACACCTGTTGTTTACTATGCACAGCTAAAGTAACTTTGTATACATACGCAAAAACGCGTCCACTAACATCAGCGCAGTGCATTACATGAGGTTTGCTGTCCTTCTCTTTGACAATTTGCAGTATCATATGATGAAGGCAATACATACTACAAGCATTTGGATTTTCTGTTTAGGACAAAACCTGACACACTATTTTGGACTGCCATTTTCATACCTAGATTATGCTTCATTTCTGAGAGTTCCTGTTGATGTAACCATTGAAGTTTTTCTATCTCAATCCTCAAACGTCGAATCTAAATATTAAAAATTTAATAGTTAGTAATAATAAACAGGGTGCAGTGTATAATACATAATTATTATACAGAAATCATGCCCAAAACAAAGAGCCTGTTCATCACTTACATCAAGGCTCCTTCATATTAACGTCAGGACAACACCATAGTAAACCCAAAACCAAAGTCTGAAGTATTCTAAATATTTCTTTCCTCACCATAAAAACTACAGGACTGTTTGAAAACAAAAAGCACTTCTATTAAACTTGCTCTTGCTTCTGCTGAAATTAATGGAGTCTCAAATTTCTCTGACTGGAATTGAAAACCTATTCTTCAGTTTTGTTTGCATTTATTAGTACTTTTATTTTATTTTTAACTAGATGAGGCTTAGGAAAGCAAGTTTTTCATTCACTGTGGATTGGGAATACAAATATCGTTGCGCATCATCACATAACTGTGACTTCCTTACTTTTATTAAAACAAGCAAACAATCATCACAACTTTAACTCTGAGCTTTATTATTCACACTCATACTTAGTTTACACTGTTTAATCTACTTTTCCCAAGTTTAAAGAAAACACTTAGGTACTAAGTACTACCTTTGGAGACAATTAAAAGCAATGTATAGCATTTCATAAAAAATGCAAAAAGTATTAAAGTGTTTTTTAAAATAAGTGTTAAAAACTATGGTCATAATCACATAACTGGAATAAGCTACTGCACTAGAAGTAAATTAAAATCCTCCTCCTCTGGTGGACAAACACATGTTTTAAAAAAATTAATATTGTCAAAAAAAACTACTTTATTTCTGATTTTAAACAAGGTGACACAAAACTAAATCCTTGACAGAAGCTTTAAGGATCAGGGCTTGATGGCTTACTGCGCCCATCTGATTTTTTTTTTTTTTTTGGTGTTTTTCTCTACCACTATAATCATTACTTCTAAAACAGCATATATAGTTAGGATCTCTGGATCCTAGATCTAGATGGTACTTTTCTATGTAAAAATACTATTTTCTAACTTTCAAAGTTAACACACAAGCAGTGTTGTTTTTTTTTTTAAATCTTACACTAACCTCAGCTATTGTACTTCCAGTAGTATTTTTTGAAAGATCATTATATATTTCAGTCATTGTTCCTTTGATGGCATCCATCATCTGAAAGACAAAAAAAATTCTTTTATATATATTTTAATAAGATACCCACTTTCACTTCCTTTCAACCACGCTAATGTGAACTTTTGTTACTATCAACAATGCCCCATATCTCTCAGTATATTTATCTGGGTCTACTTTTAGAGGAACTACTTTTCCAAGAAATTGCCATTGATATAATTTACAAACAAAAAAAATTGTAACCATGAGTTTGGGGAAGAAACTCAATAGAACAAAAAACCCCACAACAAAAAACCCCCCACATTTACTGACATTGCTGACCACTGACAATCCCACCAAGACCATATGGTTGAGTGAGAACACTGAAAGTCAAGATTAATTCTAGTGCTTTTAATGCCTTGGTACTCAACTTTATTTCCTTTATTTATGAATATATATTCACCTTGATTTTTTAATTTAAAGATCTAAAAGAGTATATGAAAAGCTAATGTTCCATCCCGCCCTGTGACTATTACAAGTACTACATCACATCTTCTCTTTAACAACTTAGCTTCTGTTTTAATACACGAATACACACTTATGACAAGTTACCATCTGATGAAGCTATACAGTGTTTTAAAACAAAAGGACATTTTTGTATATGTATTATTGGACACAGATGAAGAAATATTAATGTTTACTGTACAGATGGTGTGGAGGGGATATCTACACCTTTAGGAGACAACACAGAAAACGTTCCAAAACACAATGCAATGTAAATAAGAAGCAGCAATGCGGCAACAGGAGAATGAAAGGGTCTAAAGTGTCTGAGCAGCCGAAGCCTGTCATGTACACACTCTAGCTTGGAATGGCAGCATTCAGCCAGCTCTAAAAAGATGGTTCAGCACTCTCGTCAAAGTCTAGCTGTTCATTCATTGTAGAATGAATTTGCAACATAGGACAACCTGAAAGTAAAGTTATTTCAGAATTTGAAATGTCAAAAATGTGAACGGTCACTTCAAAATAAAATTTCAAGAAAACCTTGCTCAAGAACTTACTTTGCTGGTATATTTAGCAATATCTGCAGCCACATCAGCTGAAGCTGTTGCAATTGGCAAGTCTGTATTAATTGAGGAAGAAAGTGTACTTGCAGATCCAGAACTGGTAACCATAGAAATAGGCTGAGTACTTGTAACCAAGGTTATAGTGGATGTGGAAGTGCTCTGGGTGATCTCTTTTTGCTGCACAGCTACGAAAAGAGAACATACAGCAGATCAATCACATAAACAATTATGAAAATAAATAGGCAACCTTCTAAAATGTCTAACTTAAATGCGTGCACCTAACCTTTTCAAAGACCTACATTATTTATACAACAGTGCCATTTGATCAATTAGTTATTCGGTGCCCAGCCACTGAACTTGTAAGGCTTAAAGGTAATGAAGCAAATATATTTTTGAAACTTACTATTTTAGACCGGCCAATGCAAAAGTCTCCCTCAGATCTGTATTCCTCCCATTTTGGGACTTTTCCATCCCACTTTCTAACCTCTCAATCTGGAGAACTCCCAGGTAATATCATACATATGAGCAGAAGTTAGACTTTGACATTTTCATTTGCCATAATTTTGAAAAATATTATTGAATTTCTTTTCTTTTTGCTTTGCAACAAGGTTTAGTGAGCCACTGTTGAAGAAAGCCTACTTTAGTAATACTTCCTGGTGTTATTCCCATTCTTTTGTTATTAATGCTACTAATTATTATTACTGTTGCAACATGTTTAATATACATATATCCAGATCAACATTAGCCTTTGGTTGGCTGCAGAGCAAGGAATGCAACATTAGGTTAACTCATTAATGCAAAGACGTTATTCATAGTGTTAACTTAAACAGAATAAGAAAAGTTCTCTCATCTTTGGTCAATATTTCAAGTAATCTTAAACAGTGGGTAGTTAAAAAATGAAAGTACAAATCAAAATGCAAAGACCCTCACCTTTTCATCCCTAATGACTTATTTGCCTTAAGTATTTAAAAAAATATATTTGGCAGGACACACACAAAATACTTTTCAATCTATTCTTAGTGATTCATATTATAAAAGATGTCTTCATTACCAATATGCTCAAAACATGAATTACTGAAATAAGTTATTCATATTTATCTCTGTGTACTATATTTTTGTTTATGCCAATTCAGTATACAAGAAAGCTATAGATTTTATAGTTTTCATTTCATATATTTCTAGAATATAATATTTAAGATGGAACATGGCTATGATGTGCTCAATAGTAAACGTATTGATAAAATAAACCTGTAGGCTGAACATTTAAAGTTCAGCCCATTAAGCCCATTATTAAGCTCTTATATTAAAGCATGATTCTATTAAAAATAAGATTCATCAAGTTTCACATTTGTTTTTCTCACTGAATATTTCTGTATGAAATTTGTGCAGTCTACAAGTAGAAAGATACCACTTCTTCAACACTTCTTAAATGACAGTCACAAAAGCAGTTTGGGACCAGAAAAATATGCCTCTAGTAAACATTTGTATGTGATCTATTACCTAAACCTCTCTTCTATGTAAAATTACTGGCTTGCCAGCAAAGTGAGCTGAATGGAGAATATCAATTCATCAGGCACACCAGTATTTATTTATTAACTTGAAATTACAAATGAAGCCAGATTTGTATCTGTTGCAGTTCTGTGAAGTGAAGCAACAGAAGCATGGGCTTATATTATCACGTGCCTACTACTAGCAAAACCTCCATCAATGGGATGGTAAGAAAACAGTTGTGAAAACATTATAAAATGCTGTGCCTGTCTGCTCAGTAAACTAGCATCAAAGTCTTGTTAAGAGTTACACAACACGGATTTCAAAAACAAATGTAGCCTGGTTAATTTAATTGTTGTCAAATGAAAAACCATACAGATCAGCTTGTCAGATAAAACTGGATCCAGTTTGTAGATATCAAGGTGATAGTGGTAATCATACAAGTGGAATAGTTAATGGTTTTATCATATAATCTAGAAAATAATTCAGTTCACTCTCCCAAATCTGTGATGGCTAAGAATGGCAAAAATATTTATACAGATATACACATAAACTTTTTGTCATTAAAATAAGGAGATACAACTCTAAATACACACCAGAAAGAGCAGGTATGGTGAGTAAGTTGTTGTATTTTAAAGTCACTTATCAGAGTAGAACCACACTTTGAGATTTTGTTTATATGGAAGAACTCCTGGTTGGGCAGCCTTGGAGCACTGAGATCACTACTGGGGAATTATGGCATCACAGGCACATTGAGTTAGAAAGTGTATACCTTTAACTGCTTGTCTTGTCTGATATCTTGTCCCTTGAGAGGACTGAGGTTGCTGTGACTGAGACTGCTGGCTCTGCTGCTGTTGCTGTCTCTGCACCTTCTGCATGTGCCATTTCTGAGAAGACGTCTGAAATTTATTTGAAGAATTCCACACTACACGCTGCACAGCAGGGGCAGTTTCCTTAGGCAGCAGAGGCCTCTGCTTTTTCACAGGGCTTCCAGTGGCTGCAGACGGAGCACTAACAGTAGAAGAAGCACTAGTAGTTGCTGTCACACCAGCTGGTGGAGTCTGGGCTGCAGAGCGCGTAAGTACTGGAGTTTCTGGTAGAGGCTGGGTGCTTGCACTGGAAGAAGGTGGAGTTTTACCTACAACTAAACAAACAAAATGCAGTGCCAGCTTTTCACCAACACATCTGATTCAGAACTCTCCATCTAATTTTCAGAAGAGCCAATGCACCTTCAAGTCTACTTCAAATTATTTTTCTCAAAAGGTAATTGATATTGTACAAGTAAACTCATTTCAGTCTAGTTGAAGTTGGTGGCAATTCAGAAGTGTCAGTCATTAAGCAAAACAAAACAAAAAGTACAAAACCCAGAAAAACCAGCCTGACCTCCTTCAGAAGCTGTGTGAGAGATCAGCATTTGTTTGGATGTTTCTGGTTTACCACTTACACCTGTCATCCCAGTTTCTTCCCGGAGAAAAAAAAAAACAGTCAAAGCAAGCAATGACTTAACAATAACTCAAGGAATAGCATACTAAAAACCTTCCAAACAAAGGTGAACTGACACTGACAACCAAATATACAATGTATTTAAGATCTCTATGTTTAGTCAAAAATTTTCCAGAGTTTATAGTTGACTGTTTGACACATCAGATCAGTTTAGGAACTGGATAGTTCTCCCAAAGCTGCAGCCAGGAAACACACATCTGAAAGAGAAGACTCCTGCATTGACCAGTTTCTGGAAAGGGGGCAAAGACCTTCTGATTTGCATGCATCAGATCTCTTTTCTGGACCAAGACATTTTAATACCTCATAGCCACAAGTAAAGGTAGGGGCCTTGGAATCATGGACAGGACACAAATGATGTTTAGAATATAGTCTAACTATATTTAAATACATATTTAATATATTTATTAATATTTAAATATGTAAATCCACTTTTAATTTCACTCAGAACAGGTATTATTCCTTTGCTTCTATATCAAAGTAAAATCTTAGGATTACTTATTATTTCAACCATCACTGGTTTAGGCCACTAGTAATACATGAATCAGTGGTTCTGGAATTCGTAAAGTTGCCTTGCTTAATAAATTTTTAAATAAAAAAGAATCAGTCAATATAAATTCCCCCAAATTACAATTCTGTTTTTAGTTTATAAGCCTATTTTCTTTATTATCTCATAACATTTATCCATTAAATCCCATTTTAAGATTCAAAATGCAGAAGTATTAAGTTGTCTTCTAAAGTATGCATAGTTAACTGACTGAAAACATTGTCTTAAATAAAATGATTGAGCCAACATGCTATAAAATATAGACAAGAGAAAGTTACTGAAAAATATTTTACTCTGGTTTCCTATTTTGTTTTGTCAGAAGACTAACATGCAGAACAAGCTTTGCAAAAGCACTTTACTCATTATTTGAGATTGCTTTTCTCTTTTACCAACACACAGAAACAAAGAACAGTATCTCAGGGACAATACGTGTGATTTAGCCGTTCTTTTGATTATTACTGAGAGCATTTACATTGATTTCAATGGGCCCTTATGCAATTTCTATGTTTGATAAGTTCTGACTTCTTTTGGGAGGTCTATGGAAATTTAAAGATTCAACTGAAAGTCACAACAATTGCAAAATAAATTCTACATTTGTCACAGAACAAATATTACGGATATTTATAGTTCTATGCTGCTAAAAGGAAACTCAATGAAACTTATTTTGAAATTATAATGGGGTCTTTTTTCATAGCCACAAAGAATGAAAAATTATTCCTAAAAATTGGTTTAGTACAGATATTTTTACCTTAATGCAAAAATAAAGGTAACAACTCTGGCTTCATTAACAGCTCTACAGAATAAAAGAAAAAAAAAAAAAAAGGAAAGAATTTCATCCTACCATCTTGTTTAGGAGGAGGTTCTTTAGATTCTTTCTTGGTTTTCCTTCCTTCACGGCCACAATGATCATCTCCTAGATCGATGACAAGTTCACTCTCAGAATCAGAGTCCAGTCCTAGATGCACAGTTGGAGAGTCTGTTTCATCTTTACCTTTCAGTTTTTCTTTTGCAGGATGCTGTAAACTTTTTCCCTTTTCAGAAAATTCTTTTTCAGTGTCTGTAACTGTCTTTTCTTTGACCAGGTCATCTGTTTTCTCCAATTCTGGACTTGTGCTTTTAAGTTCCTCCTTGTCTTCATTCTGTGCTGGTGCCTTCAGTTTTTTTTTCAAGCTCAATGATTCTTTGTCACTTCTTGTACCTTCCTTGTCCTCTCCATCTTCTTGATCGTTCTTTGATTTCTGATCCTCATCACTATATTCGCTGTCACTGGTGTCAGATTTTTCAGAATCTTCAGAGTCACTGTGTTCTACTGCAGTATAAACAGCTTCAGATATTTCATTTATTCCTAATTGTGGGGAGGAAAGTACATTCCATGCTGACATCAGACTGACTGACATTACCCCCCCCCCCCCAAAAAAAAAAAAAACCCCTCTATATACTGGAACAAATTGTATACATACCATTATCTTAACTGTCAGTCCTTAAGCTATAAACACTTCCCTTAGTGCCCTGTCTCAATACCAGAATGTATAAGGATTACCTTCCACATACTCCAATTCATATTATTATTTCATTCAATGGCCCTCCTTTCACTGCTTTTTTTCCACTACTGTAGAAAAACTACCGCAAGCTGTTTAGTTCAACCCAGGACCCAATGCTGGCAAATACAAAGGGGAATTATTTTTATCCACAAGAAATCACCTTAAGATCAGTAACACTATTCACCTGATTAAAATTACTTACATGATGTTTGCAGAATCAATTTTAGACTGCATAAGTTTTATGAGGAGAATCTCTTGATTTTTTTAGTGTCTAGAACGTCTTTAATGCAGTGCTAGACGACACTAACATTTCTAACAGTATTCAGCTCCTGTGTGACTGGATATACCAATTTGTGCCACTGACATAAGTTAGGTACAATTCTTGACTTTTTCAATTTACAAAGCAAATAGTAAGACTATAATTCTGTCATACTATCTACATCAGAATGGTACAAAAACAGATTAAAAGATGAAAGCTTTTTGACAAAAATTTGAAAATTCAGGTCTCGCTGTATTTTAAATTAAACTAGTTCAGTGCATTCTACTTGCCTCAAAGAGTTCAGATATCCTCCACTCTTGTTTTAATGCATAAAATATTTAAGGTTTTGCTAACTGAAAGCTTCTTTTAAACTCAATTTTTAAATTTCCTCAAGGACATCCTTTCAGATGTCTATCGTATTCTTGAAATATACTTACCAAGTTGTGCTTTACAACTCTCTATTGTCTTGTCAAGATTAAGCTGGAACCTACTACGTATCTGTCGCTTTGGTGAAATGAGTTGCACAGGAGTGGTCTGCTGTTGGACTGACTCACTCAACTCCTTCAGATCCATCTCAGCTTTGCTACGATCTAGAAAAAGAAAAAGGAACTAAGAAAAATATTTTACAACAAGAGATCACTATCCAGATAAGACAAATTTCATTGAGTAACAATGCAGACAATCTGAAACATATTTCACTTATTTCATAATTATGGGCTAAGTAAAAATTCTAAAATTACCTTAGTACAAACAATGGATTCTTCCTCTCTGACACCATATATTTTACATGCAAAACACACGCATTAATTATGTGAATGTCTTCTCCGTCGATGTGAAATTATCAAGAAATCGTCATTCAGGTCTGTAAGCTGTCCTACAGCAGTTCTGGTAAGCTACTGCTGTTATTTACTACTAGTAGTAATATTTTCACAGAGAAAATTAACTAGGAATAAAAATCCTTACAGTTACTATTTAAATTCAAAAGATAAATCATGAGAATAGAAGTAAAAATGTGGATTGTTACACTAGATAGATTAATCAATTTAAGAAAAAATGATACATACTTTTTTTTTTTTTTTTTACACTATCAGAGTAAAAAGAATTTTTACTCTGAACCACACAGGTCTGTCTGCAAGGAGTACAGACTAGATTGCTAATACTGTCTTAGCAACTAAGTTTTGAATTTTTGCTTTGATTTTTCAATTGCAGAGGTTATATTTCTGTAGCATAGTTCTACCCTTTACTCTTTGCCAACAGTGCTGACACTCATTTATTAGTGCCCAGGGCACTAAATCAGTCCAGACTTAGTTGCTAGTTTTGAGGGGGAGGAAGGGGACATGAAGAAGGGGAAAGGAATGGAGAGAAGAATTAGGTTGGCCAGTTTAGCTCCTTGAACTGGCTCATGGTAGGATCACAAAGAGCCAATGCCATATGGCAGAAAAGGACAGAGGTCAGGGAGAAGACAAAAGGCAATTCTGGCACAATGTGCATTTGTGCTTCATTTAGAGTTTCATTCCATAGCAGCTGAAGATGTCACAGTATTGCCTTACTTTAATACAAACAAAACCCCCCCCCCTAAATTTACAGTATGTTTTTTTAAATGTACAACTCAGAGAAAATTGAAATAAATACAAAGGGCTGAGCCAATGATTCCTCTGACCAGACAGTCTTTACAAGTTTGAACTTAATATCAAGGTACATTCCACATTTGAAATTTAAGAGCCATAGTACATAATGACTTGACTCAAGTTCAGTAGTACAGTTGTCTCAGTCAGGCTTGGCCACTCTATGTCCTATCAGGTTGCAAATAGAATCTATATTATAGATAGAGCAAGTACAGAAGGAACCATTCAAGTATTCATGCAGCTTTTGTTTACTGCTAAAATAGCAGTTCCTCATCTCTTCCTAGAGAGAGGCAGCAACTTGTGTTGTGCAATACCACAAGCCAAATACACAGGCTGTAATTTGGATCATCTGGCTTGTAACATATATGCATTACAGCATACACAAATTCAGTCTAAGTAACATACAATTGTCCTTTCTAGTCCCAGAGAAATGGTCATTAAAGTAATAATGAATTTCACACTCCTCATGACACATATTCATACTGGAAGAGACTAAACATAATCCAAACTCCGTCATCTTCCGTGCAACACAAATTTTGAAAATAAAAATGAAGGTTCTATGTCACTTAAGTACTTTTGAAAAAATTGTTCCTTGTATTGGAAACATTTACTAAATTAGGTTTCTTCTCCCTGTGCTAACTACGTCAACCAATCCACACTAATTCCATAGCAGTAATGGTTATATCACCATTTGATACACCATACAGAATTTCATTCAAGGCCTTCATAGCCTTAGTTAACTACAAGGCAGGATGGGAACAGAAGAAAAAAGTGGAGAATGAGGGAAGATGAAGATGAGACATTATAATACCTCCCCAGGGAACCCTACATCCTAATGTATGAAAGAAGTCCTGCAATCCAAATTTCTCTATCTAACCTACAAGGAGGTCTCACTTATCTGGATCTCTGACCTGTATCATTCATGTCAAAGTATTAGGAAAAAGAAAACAGAGCCAAAGGGCAGACAAGCCCATTGTGGAGAAATCTTCTCATCTCCAAAGTCGTCTTTTTCTCATTACCAATCTAAAAATTTTCACTCCTTACTTGGTCAAACTTGTTGTTCTGTCTTTTCTGCCTCTGTTATACAAGGACAGGTCCTATACTATCAGGAATATCTATTTTTTCCAAGCAATCTGTGTATAAGTTGGTCATTCACACCTCCATTTTTCAATTTAGCCAATCTGCCACTAACAACAGACGGCTTATTTCCATTATTTTTCCTTCCTCATTGACGGAGGACAATCACAGAGTTCTCCTAGTATTCTGCTCAAGGTAATAAGTGTCTTTGTTTTCTGGACTTTCACTTTTGTTTTTTCAGAAAGAAACCCTGTTCACATTATGTATGATAATGAGACACAGTAAGTCATATCTGAAAACCATAGGATTCACAGATGAGTCTATGTCTGGCACAGTTGACAGTAGTAAATGAAAAAGGGGTGCCATTTTCATTCCTATCAACAAATAGTATATTTAGCAAAGGAAATTCCCCTAAAGCTGAAAAAATAACTGATATTCTACTTGAAAACATACTAGCTGTTCGTTAATGTTATTGCTCATGGACCACAGCATCGGATTTTCCAATCCATGCTTTTTATTCAAAATATTCTATGCTCCTGCTGATGTCTCTCATCTGTGGCTCAAACAACTGCAGCACTACATATTTCTCAACATTTTTCCAAATGTATTGTCACCTCAGATAAGATAACAAAACAGCTGCAGCGCAGCGGAAGAAATTAATTCCATGGTTAAGCCCACACAGATAGATTAACCCACTAAAAAATATACTTGTGAGCTTGTATCCAGAACTGGAATATTTGTAACTTACTGAAAATATGAATTCAACATTTGAGCTCAAGCCTTCCTGAAGTATTTGGCTAACACCAAGGTGCAGAATCCTGTTTCTCCACGTAATATCATGTGGATGTAAAAAGTGGACAGAACTGAATCAGAATACTCACAGGATCAAAGCATGACTGAGGAAACTGATTTATATCCATTTGGCTTTTAGAACTATTTTACAAACTTAATACTTAACTACTCCATCTTTCAAAATTCCACAATCCCAAAATTTACTTCTAGGGAGTTTTAAGACATCTGCTAATTCCTTTCATCCATCTATCTCCCTAGAGAGGGATGGTCAGTGAGGAGGTGATGTGAAGGCAGCAAGAGAAAAGAAGCCCTAGTAAATCCCAAACACCACAAGAAAACCTTGCCAGAAATTCACTTGAGACCAAGGGGTGAAGGGCAGCGGTGTTTATGTAATTACAACCTTTAGAAACTTACCTACTGTTTAGAAACATTCATTTGTACAGTTCAGCTAAAATAAAAAAATCATCCTTTAACTAATCCCTTTTATCAACAAGAAGAAACATTAACAGGAACTTTCATTTATAAACCAAAGAACAGCATATTTGATGAAACAATAATTACACATATACCTCATTTAAAGCCCCTTGTTCATTTAATGACACATACAAGCAAGTTTGTTCATATTATATTGCATTGACACCACTGTAATTTATTCAGCTATAACAGTATTAGGTTTCCAAAGGTCAAGACTAACCAAGATTAAGATTCAGAATGCTTCCTGGAGTGGAAGTTCTTTCTTGCTTAGCAGAAATTGGCGTTGATGCTTGAGGAGAGAAAGGTTTGGGGCTGCCTGACAAGCTCCCTGCTTGACCGGTTCTTGTTGGTGCCGGAGATGCTGAAAAAGTACCAAATTCATAAAGACAGATTTTAAAATAATCACAAGAAAACCATATTTACTGCAACAAAACAGCTTTTAAACCAACACAAGCAGGGAAAGGATTTTTGTTTAATAATTTCAACACTGTGTTATACCTCCATTGTAAGTTATAACTCCTCTAACTTTAGTTTAATAATGAAAGAAATTGTAAGGAAAATAGTTTTACTGCAGCTATATAGTTGGGCCAAATGTGTACTTACTCTCAAAACCACTCTGTTCGCAATGACAGAAAGTTTCTAGCTTTTGAGATTTGGTTGTTTTAGATGTTAACAAGTTCTAACACACTAAATTGTTACCTATTTTAGTTCAGAAAACCCCACCTACCCCATTTTCTAGCTACATTACCAAGTACAAATCATAGTAAGTTTAATCAGTACAGCTGGAGATCAGTGACCAAATGTCGCTGATAAGGTAACATAATATTCTAATTTATACAGAGTTTAAACAAAATCCTGTGCTCCGAGTCTTTAAAGTCTCAATGAAATAATGTTTCAAACACAAACTTCTGGGAACAGCCAAACAGTCTAGAAAGGGAAACATCTGCAGGCCATTACCTACAAAAAAAGGACGACTCATTTTTGTCAGCAAGACACCAGTTTCTATCTGTTGAATCTCTGCTTAAATTCTCTTAAATTTGCTCTGAAAATGTCATCCTAAACTCAATACTGGACACTTTTTCTTCCCCAGTACACACAGGATTGTCTATGTATTTTCAGATTCCTAAACAGTAGCAACATCTGCTGTTTCAGTAACTGTTTCCAAGTTATTTTCTATAAATCACTCAAAATACACAACAAAGGCAGCCAAATAAAAATGTTCTTGTCTAAGGATAGTGCAGTCATGCTACTTGAAATATTTTTTTAGAGCAAACAAGTGATTTCATCTACATTTGAATTGATACACACAGATTCCAGTAATAGGACGTCTAAGTTTACACATAAAGTAAGTATTACACAAGTCAGCATTTGTAACAATATACAGGTAGAAATGCCAGGTGGGAAACTGAATATTCTAGTTTAACTGCTGTTAAGTCCAATCCAGCATTTCTATGCCCTAGGATAGTAAGACCTGAGGAAGAGTTGGAAAATTTCCCCAGAATTGCTGTGATAATCAAGAATCCAGAATAATAGGATAACATCTGTCATCATCTTTTATCTTTATCTGACAAAATAGCTTTAATGTGACTTTCCATTATTATCTCCACTACTATGAAGAAATAATAATGTGGTATAATAGAAGATCTACATTTTAAGACACAAATACCTACATCTTATGTATAAAAGCTGCACACACATAGATACATAATAATTTATGTATAAAATGAATTATTCCTTTTGACATGCTACTCTACTGAAAAATCCAAGTATTTTCATATATTTAAATTCACACAGTTACTTTGTCGTCACTTTTAAGATGGACAGGATCAATCACAAGACACTTTTGTACCCAAAGGTAGTTTCACAACCCAGCCTTTATTGGCTAGAAAGAATAAGAGTATAATTAATAAACAAATAAATAAATAAATGGCATTTTATCTAAAAACTGCAATGGAACATATTGATTGAGTTTTCTACACAAAGACATCCTTTTACCTAAACCAGAGTTTTTAAAAACTCACATCAATTAATATACTGCATCATTTTTTTCAGATAGCAAGGAACTTTATCTTAGGTTTTTTTCATCCATAAAAGAAAATAGTTTTCCTGAGTGCCACAAAATTAGCTAGCATTTGACTACATTATAAGTCTGAGAAGCCCAAAATCTCTATTCCACACTCCTTTTTCTCTTTATCCACTCTGCCTATGGAACTGCAGTTTTACCATATTTTAGCTATACAGTTGGGAACACTATAAATTAAGCTCATTGCCTTGAAAAAGAGCTATCAAAATTTAAATAGAATACGTCCTAATCAAGACTACTATTTTCTACTTACTTCCACTCTCCATTGATTTTGATAGTTACAACTACATTCTGCTATTTAAACTGAAGGTTTTTGTCACTTTTCAAGAGTATTTATTCCTTCTCAATGTGACAGAAAGAACTGTTATTTCTTATCTGTGATACTGAAAATTAAGCGCATCTTTTTTTCTAAAATTTCTTCATAAAATGAGTCATAATACAGTCTGTCTTTAAAAAGTACATGGAATAAAACTAGTGCATTAACCAAATGCAAAGTCCTGTACCCTCTTTTTTTTTACCTGTATTTTTCTCAATAAAGTCCATGGATTCTTCACTGGCACTAAAATGACTGGAAGTTGCTTTTTTCTCTGCGTCCTGTTCAACATCAGATCCAGTGTGAACTGATGAGTTTGTACTCATTGGTGACCGTGGCATATCTGTCAATGAAATCCTACGACCAGTACTACTGCTCAGCATAGACTTGCTCATTAGAATCTTGGGCGATGCTGTCATATCAAAGTTCAGTTTGATTTTCTCTTGTTTGTCTGTCTTTGCAGTTCCAGCAGTTGGGTTTGCAGGGTCTAATAACATTTGGTATTGATTGTTGGGAGTATATGGTGTCCGGAAAGGTGCGTAATTAAATACTCCAAATTTTCTACGAATGTTATCAACATAAACCTCCATTTCTTGCATTGCACTATTGAAGATGCTTTTAGTCTTTTTCACAGAAAAAGGAATTTCTTTAGACATGAGGTAGCAATTATTTATTGGAACCCAGGCCCTATATATAAAACAGAAAAAGAAAAGATACTACATTTCACACTGTGGATTGATATTGGCAACTTTTGTGCAAATACTAGTTTATTTTAGCCTAATCATAAAGATATGCACACCTCATCATTTCAAAGGACCATCATATTCTTTTAATAGTTTAGTCCTTAGTTAAGTAAATTTCATGTCTTAGATTATCGCTAGCTTATTTTACTCTACCCAGTAACACATAAAACATGAATAAACACTGGTCAAAAATATTCCTAACTAGCATAGTCTATGAAACTAAGACAACCATTGCTAAACAGTCTTTCAATCTGTCATAGTTAGGAGAAAAACATAAAAAGCAGTTCAGGAAAAAAAGACTTCACGAGCACATTCTTAAAAATATTTTACACCCCATGGCAGGGTGATCAAACTCCTCAAAGCCAGGAGAAGTTCTATCAACAAGTATTGGACAGATTTTATTTATCATTAAATGAGGCAGACTCTAAAACCATGCCTTCCAAGATTCTATAATATCAGGAACTTCAACCTAATTATTTCATGGCCCTGTACAGTTTAGATTGGTTTGGGGTTGTTTGTTTGTTTGTTTTACGGTACATGTTTTTATAACTGTAGAGATTTAAATTTTCAATTCATGACAAGTCAACTCGTATTCATCATGGCTTTCTCCATCTAAGCAGAGGGTTCACAAGTACAGAAAACTCAACTCTTTTAAGAGCAAAAGTGGCATTTTCAACACAGATTATATTCTCTATATTTTTTAAATCTACAACTGTGTGTTTATTGACGTAGTGTTTAGACAACATAATCAACTTTATTGGCCTCTTGCTTTAAGAACCTTTAAGAACTACAGTTCTCTGCAGCACAAAACCAGACACAGGAATTAACTTGCATACTCACTGACATTATGTATATATTAATATTACAAACACATGACTTACATTCTACAGACATCATGTAAAGAAACTAAAACTGTATACGCTACAGTATTATATAGTTTATTAGGGCCAAGGTTCAAAAGTTCTAAGTATTAAAGTTATCTAAGTTCAAAAGTATTAGGGCTGAAGTTCAATCCTGTTCAAAAGACAGGATCTAAAAATCCTAAGAGCACAAAATTGCAACAAGAATTTTGTAAGTACAGCCAAAGACATCCTTTGGTTAAATTCCCACCTGTCGTGTTGGCCAAAGAAACGGGCATCAACTTGCCCGTCTTTATCCCTCAGTGCTTTAGCAGGCCAGAATGGAAAGCCTTTGAGTTTAGCCCAGACCAAAGGGTGGGGATTGCTCTAGAGGAAGAGGCAAAACACACAGTAAGAAAATACAAGCAGTATTATATCAAATCTGATAAACAACATGATTTTTTTTTTACTTGTATGTATTACTTAAATTCAATAAAGATCCAACATGTGCAAGGCACTTGCCTAATACAAGATTCCATTTTACTATATACTTCATATATACATAATAAATCCCGAGAGGGCAAAATAATAAAACAAGCAATAGTCAAATGAGAACTGCTAGTTTAATATATTAGTTAGACTACCATAATTCTTAACTTACACAAGGCTCACAAAACCAATTTTCTCGTTTTTGGCAAGCAGCTAAATAACATTCCGGACACACTTCAATTTCATTCATCTGAAAAGAAAAAGCAGTTACTGGAGAGCTCAAACAGAGTCCAAAGCATGATCAGTATTATTATGTCAACCTGTCTAGTTTGCTAGCATCATTTTTCCAGAAATTTGTGTCATAAATCAACATTTCCCAGGTGGCCAAGAAGGCCAATAGCATTCTGGCTTGGATCAGAAATAGTGTGGCCAGCAGGACTAGGGAAGTGATGGTCCCCCTGTACTCGGCACTGGTGAGGCCGCACCTTGAATACCGTGTTCAGTTTTGGGCTCCTCACTACAAGACAGACATTGAGGTGCTGGCGCATGTCCAAAGAAGGGCAACAAAGCTAGTGAAAGGTCTAGAGCACAAGTCTTATGAGGAGAGGCTGAGGGAACTGCGGTTGTTTAGTCTCTGGAGAAAAGGAGGCTGGGAGGAGACCTTACCTCTCTCTACAACTATCCAAAAGAAGGTTGTAGTGAGGTGGGTGTTGGTCTCCTCTCCCAAGTAACAAGCCACAGGACAAGAGGAAATGGCCCCAAGTTGTGCTGGGGGAGGTTTAGATTGGATATTTGGAAAAATTTCTTCACTGAAAAGGGTTGTCAAGCACTGGAACTGGCTGCCCAGGGAAGTGGTTGAATCACCACCCCTGGAGGTATTCAGAAGACGTGTAGATGTGGCGCTTAGGGACATGGTTTAGTGGTGGACTGGGCAGTGTTAGGTTTACAGTTGGACTCAATGATCTTAAAGGTCCTTTCCAACCTAAATTATTCTGTGATTTACTTGCTGTGAAATCAACGCTCTTTTGACAGATACCCATCTTTTTCTACCCTTGTAACATATGCATTCCAGTTAATACATCAGTCACATTTTTACATCCCTCTTCAGATTGTATCCTACTGTCATTTATTCCAGTCAAAAAAATACATCCTTTGTTTGGTGTTGTATTTATTCCAGTGATAAAGAATTATTTATCATTATTTCTTCCAGTGGCAAAAATACAATCTCAATTGGGCATTTAATTTCATAACTTATGCAGAACCAAAATTAAAATATTCTGCTCCTTATGTTCCTACTATATAAACTAGTTAAGACACTAGGCTCAGGTTATACATGTATTTTGTTCTATTAAGAATGGATAAATTCTCAGAATTTACGTGAATCATGGATATCGCTATGTCAACCCGGGGGTGGAGAAAGCACTTCCATGAATATAAAGGGTCAGGTCATCAGTTAATTTATATCAATGAAATACTGTTCGAATCTATCACATTTAGAATAGCAAGTTTTTGTAATACTAAACCTTATAGATTGCCACTGAAATAAAATCAGTGCAAATTATCAGTTAAGATTGCATGCAGTCATTTTTGCATTTATTCAGAGGAATTTCATATCATTACAGCAAAAGAACCACCAAAAATGCATCTATGAACCAGAACATGTGGGTCTCTCTTTCCAACTCCAAGTATTCGTTTAGAAGATAGGTGTCTTGGTGCAGAAACCGTATGTCCACCTTCTTCTCTTCCCTCTCCTGCCACACCGCAAGTCTTGATTATAGATAGTGAATATCCTAATGGCAGGCATATTAGCAATGCTCTTGCCAAAAATCATTCTGTAGGCCATAGACATGCATATTTAAACATAAGGAAGCCTACAAAAGTTATAGTTATGCAATACACACATCAGAAAATGTATTATTTCACTCACAAATATATGAAATGGAACACTATAAAAATACAGAACAATTAATTGGGGCACTCATACCTCATGCTCACAGATTTTGATGATAACTTTTGCTGTTTGTGTCAATTTGTGATTTCCTGAGGAAACAATAAAATGTTTTAACCAAGAAAATTGTTATGCTGAAGTTATGATAAAAACCAATGGCTTTTAGATCTAAAAGTTAACATTAAAGACAAAAGAGAACACCTAAAGAGACAATGTAAAACACATATGTATAAACTACCTGCTTGCAAAAGCAGAAGGCGGGCATTTTTCTTCTCAACATAACTTTGTAACAATCTTTAAATGTTGATTTTTTGAAGCCTATTGCAGCCTGCCCACCCCTGATACACTTTTTCAGTGAGGGACATGCTGTATGATCTCCTCAATCAGGTCTTCTATAAAGTGCTGCACAATGCAAAACACCAAAGCAACTTGGGGGTTGGAACAAGATAATCTTTAAGGTCCCTTCCAACCCAAACCAGTCTATGATTTTAACTTGAAATTTTTTTTACAGTGGAATGAGCAAGTGACAGCATGGGCTGTATTTCGTCCTACAGTTTTACGTGTGCCAGTCATTAAATAAAATAAATCTGTTGTGTTTAGGCACTATGGTCGTTAACAGGAAGACACGTTTAGCATTTGCCAGCTAGAAGTCTACAAATTGTTCTGTGACTTCAACTATTTCAAAGTTTCATATCTGAGGACATAAATACATATTAATACTTACCCCCATTGTAAATAATGCAGTTGTGCAAAATCCATTTGGCATCAGCCAAAAATGCTTCAGTGCAACCGTACATTTTCTTTTTAACATTCTGTAAAGAAAAAAATCAAGAATGCATCAGGAAACAGAAATGAGTAAAAAGTGACAGCTTCTTCCGGAACATTGTTTCCTATCAGTCATATAATTAATAAAACTGACTACTTATTTACTGTAAGACTTATGATTCTAAATACTTAAGAATCTGTGAAATTCAGGGTGTCTTCTAACCACCCTTAAAATGTATGAACTGTCAAAATCAACTCTAAATAATGAATTATTTGGATCAGAATCTTCAACATTTCCAAAAAAAGTGTTAATTTCCTGCAACAGCGTTCCATTTGATGTCTCTGCAGAAAAGAGTCCTTGATTTCTTCTACTGCCATATTATCACTCCACAGCATTTTTACTTTTTAATTTTTATGAGACACAGAAAAAAATTATTGGTCATAGTACGTAAGACAGTATGTTTGATATTCCAGTCCATCCGCTGGCTAAAGTAATTCATTTAGATAAAATCAGCCACATGGTTTTGCTACACCTTTATACCATAAGGACATCAACCTCCACTGTAAGAGCATGGGGAATGACAACTTGCTGTCTCTTCACCAGGTCCTAGCAGAACAAAGCTCTACAATGCTTCACTCTTTATTAAGCAGTGAAGAATGGAGAACTTCATGATGTGAAATCTTTAAACTAATATTGAACTGAGAATGAAAGTCTCATTATCCACCTCTTGACTGTTTCTTTTTTCCTCTACACGTCAGGTGCAGTGGAGATTACAGTATTTGTTGAAATGGTCAGTAAAATGAGTCTGGACTGACCCCTGCATATACATACACTCAAACGGTCCCAAATTAATGGACCAGTGATCAATTAATAGCTTACAAACATGATGATCAACTGCAAACTGTGGTTAATGATGTCTCCCCACAGGATCATTCCTGGAATTAGATGAATTTATACAGGAGGAAGTCATCAGTGTAAACTTGTCTTTTTCCTACTGTTTTTCCTGAGCATTTGTTATTGGTTCAGACAAACAGTGGACTTGTTCAGTTGGCATACGATTGTTTTCAAGCTGCAATTGAACTGGCAGTTATAATAACCAAAAAAAAGCATCAAAACAATTTTAAGCAACCTCTCTCACATCAAACACTCCAGAAATCTTATTGATAGCAATCAAATTCAAGGAACCTCCCTTCCTTAGCTTCATACCAACCTTCTCTAATGTACAAAGGTCCATTGGATGAAAGATATATTCTGCATAATCTGGGTGTTGATCCAGTGAAACTGGCTTTTGAAATGGCTCTGTCTGTTAGAGGAAAAAAAAAAAAAAATCACACTGCTTATTAATACTGAACAGTTTCATCAATGACACAATACTCATTCATTTTCTAATACCACTTGTAATTATGATGCCAGAGAAAACTCTTTAAAGGCAATTATAAAATTTTGTGAAGTAATAAAATATTGGCAGAACAAGAGAAACTAAAAGGTCTCATTTAACTTATCTTTCATATGCTAGAAGTAAAGAATTGCAAAACTTAACCGTTTTGTAAAATGTACTGTTATTATTTACAGTAGGGGTTTTTTTTGTGGGGAGTATCAGATGAGGCTCAACAGATTTTAGTTTTTACCAGTTTTTAGCCAAATAAAGACACTTACTAAATTTCTGATTCACTAGACTCACAAATACTTCTTTTTCAGGCTCTCTTTAGAATCATAACTTTCAAAACAATGGTGGCTTGGTAATGTAAACACATTCAGACTTTTATCAGTGGGACTGTATATTGTATCTGCTAGTGTGGAGGGACTGCAATTCTTGGAACACAACCAATTTAAGTACTCAGGTACCAAAACAACAAGTTATTAGTACAATGACTAAAGGGCAAAATATCTCAATAGCATTCATTAAACGTTAGCTTTCTAATCACATTTTCAGAACACTTTGTGAGTTCAATATAAACAAACACTGACGCTTTGCTACTGAAAAGCAGCACTTAAAGCTTCTAATGGCTCCATCTAACAGGATAGTATTTACCACTCCAGAGTAAAAGGATTCCAAGAGCCAAAATCTGTCAGCACTTAAGAGTAACCTTCCCAGAAACTGCCACTACTTTTCTGCTAAAATACTTACCATAAAGAGATCAGAGTTGCAGAGAGCCATAATTCTGCACAATCTGTTTTTCCAAACATATTTTACTATAACACTGCAGGCACAGAGACACCCTCCCTGCTCCCCTAACTTAGTACACGAACAAGAAAGCAACAGGAGTTAAGACAACCTTCGGTAATTCATCACATCGTATTTTGATTTACTGTCATCTTCACACATGTGAAAACTAGGCAAGGCTTGCATGGTGAAAACCAAACGACTTAGAAGCAAGAATGACTGGAAGAGCTGAACCTTTGAGGCACGGTGATTTTAAGAAATGAGTCTAAGACAGACACATGGAGATAGGTACAAGCTGGAGAACAGCCAATTTTACCTTCATGAAAAAAATTCATAGAACAGCAGCCTCATATTGCATGAAAGTTAATGGCACAGGTTTTTACCACACTGAGGAAAATTTCTTCAGCATTTTAGAAGTATACAACTAACTTCTGAGGTAACAACAATTTCTACTAACAGATAGATGCTATGTTTTCAACAGGTATAATGAATAATATAACAGCGTCTTGTGCCTAGGGTTCCTGCCCATATAACCGTATTGGTAAGAGATCATGTCTCATCATTCCCCTTGTGTCTCAGAGACAGCACTGTCCACTTTCAGAGAGTGAGAAACCACCATATCTCATTGGAAAGCCACATTGTATTTTCATTACACCTACTAAAACTACGTCCAGAAGTTACATCAAGAAACTACATTTTAAGTGCACTCTGGAACAGTCTATACAGCCTAAACTAACCTGTCTGTATTAGGCAGGTGGCAGACATCACAGAAGTTGTCACATACAATCTGATAAAATAAACTAGGTTCATAATCCACAAAACGAAGCAAAACCCAGGATTATGACAAACATATGATCCAAGCATTAAAAAAAAAATTCCTTACCCCTGGCTGTTTCATTTTCTGTAGTGCAAACTTCAGTAAATATGATAGCTGTTCAATGGTGAGCATTGTCATAGCTTTACTCTGTGTTTCTATGCATTCTGCAACTGTGATTTTCTAAAAGTTAAGATTAAAAAAATATTTTGTCAGCAAACATTTCTAGGTAGATTCTTCTTCACTGAAACTTATTCTATATTCAAATGGCAGTTAGTAACTATCTTATAAGACCACACAAAGTAAATGTGCGAACACATAAAATTCCCAAATACAATGCGGGTTTACAGCAATGTGAACGAGTAAGAAGGTCGTCTGGGCTCTAATACAATAAGCGATCAAACTAAAATAGGCAATAAACCAACTTGCTTTCATTAAAGACACTTTTGATGCTAATATTCTCTCCCCAGGTATCACTGGAGGGGAATCTTCCTTAGCCCTGCAGAAAAAAAATAGTAATAGAATTCCCACTTCTTTATGTAGACCTTACAGTGCAAATTTTTTTTCTTGCACTGCTGCAGAGCTGATCAGCCCACTAGAAGAAGCACAAGCAAAACTAGTCAAAACTGCAGAATATTTTCAGAATTAGAGGTGCCTAATAAAGACACTCTCTGAAATGGTGCCTTTCTAGTTTTGGAAACGCAAAGGAAGTTGGAGACTCGTAGTAAGAAAGCAAACACAATCCAGGTACCCACATAGAAAAAGTAGTGAAGCAGCAATGGATGCCTCCTCTTCTGCACAAATTTTTCTTGTACCTTTACTAAGAGGCAATATAGTAATAAACCAGAAACATTTCAGAATGCAAAAAAGCTGCTTATATCTCACAAATGAGAAAGAAATCCACTCCTTATATCAAACTAACCTCACATTCTGGGCAAAACCAATCCCCCTCTGGTTCCGCTGTCAGTTTCAGACACTTAGCATGATAAACCCGAGGACAGAGTTCACAGCAGAGGACTTGGCCTTCCCGATGACAAACCCAGCAATAGAAATCATTCCGTCCATCCTGTGGTACAACATCAACAGGGTCTGTGGTGAGTGGCTGCTTCATATAGTAAAACGGACCATGTCTTAGTTCTGACTGAAATGTAGGCAAGAAAAACAGGTTTGGTTTCAAAACAAATTTGCATTTTTTCAAATAATAATATTCATAATATATAAGCAAACAGCAGTTTACAGCATTTGATTAACATTTATGCAAGCACGGTATCTTATTCATTGCACAAAATCATTCATGAGGAGTTTTACTTCTTATTCAGATGTCAAATGCCAGTTTGCACTCAAGACTGAAAATAAATTTTTATGGCAAGCTAAGGCATTGAGTGCAAGACATGCAATCTAACACAAGTCAGTAAACACTTTTATCTTCAAGAAAGAAGTATTACTGTAGAAGCTATTAGGTCTTCTAAACTCAGAATTCCATGGGGCTGTGCAAGCTAAATACTGAGATATTTAGTGATGACTAAACCTGGGACAACTGGAGAAGTTAGTCCTGAAACAAGAAGTTGAACACCATGCAAATCTGTCCTAAGTTGCAGCAGTTCACAACTTTGTACAATGAAGCAAGCCAGTGCTGATTTTGATTAATAAGGCAAACTGTAGAGTAGGATGACAAAGGAGCAAATGCACATCCTGAACAGCCACCTCTACTACAGGAGCAGGCACACTGGGAGAGATTTAATCCACCACTCAATGCACATCAGAATTTAAGACTCACAATCTCCACTGGTTTGCCTGCATTAGAAAACAGTGTTAACTTTGTAACTGCATGAACTAGTCTTCCACTTGAGCCCCAGACAGCTCAAAGATGACACAGCTGGTACCAAAGCACAACAGCCTGGGATGGCTAAAATGGGTCCCCAGATACCTAGTTTGTTAGATCAGCTTTGAAGAGCTGCTAACATTTATTGGAAAACTACATTCTATTTATTAATGACAAGGGAACTTAAGTTTTCTGTTTGGCATTAATTGTAGGTGTGGTTTGCTGAGGAGGGAATGGAGAGAAACAATCTTGAGTTTTTGGCAGTTTATTTACTGGGATTTTTTTTGTTGTTGTTTGATGCAAAACCATTCACTCATGACAATACTTGTAACTGCTCAAATGCTTGTAGGTTGCAGAACCATTTTGTTTGGTTCTCAGATAATTTTGCATGCATCCTACACCATTTACACATCTGCAAGTTCTTATACCCTTGAGCTGTCACATGCCCATGTGACTCACAGAACAGTGCAAGCATATGCATGTTCCATACCTTTGCAGCATCCTGTACAAAATTAGTCACACAGGGCATAAATTAATGTCACCAGAAACCAACAGCATGCCAGCTTGGACCATGATATTTCTAGATTTCTAAAGTTACAAAGGACAAGGTCTAATTATTTGCACGAATAGAGGACCTTTAAGGTCAAATTAGATGACACAGAAGTGACAACCCAGCTGAAGATGTTATTTCTCAAAAGATACACCAGAAGTCAAGTTATCTGCAATTATCTAACACTGTATAATATTTTAGGCAAAGAAAGGATGTTACCCACAAACATTCCCAAAGCATTCTGCTACCTAAAATTTCACTCAAATTTCTCTCAGTTTTGGTGTTTTTCATTTTATAGTCTACAGATAGTACAGCTACTAAAAAGGTATTTTATTCCCACCATGGAAGTAGGCTAAGTTTTCTTTTCTGTATGTGTGTGTATACACACACACACACACACAAAGATCATATAACACAACAAGACTTTCAGAAGGAAGGTTCTATGAGATCCTGTGGAATAAGAGGGACAGCATAAGGCTTTAACTAAATTTCAAATGTATTACTACTACAATCATTCAAGCAGATACAAAGGCATATGGAAACCCAGAGGGAAGACGAGAAAGTTGCAATTTACAGTGCGGAAACATGTTTTGTTTGCAGCTATATGCATGACAGCTGTGAGACCAAAATCTCTATAGTGTATATGTGGAGATGCAGCTATGGGGCATTTCCTCAACTGCAGGTAAAGGAAATTGCCAGAAGAATTTAATACATACTCTGACTTTGAAGTGAGTATAAGCAGTATATCCACACTAACTTCCTAAGAATCAAAGATACTGCTTTTAGACAAATATAAAAAACCTGTGAAACTATTCCACCAAAATCAGCTCACAACATCCAAACCAAACAGAAGTCCATTTTTGTTAAAGCATGACAGGAATTAATTTTCTGTTCAAGGTTGCTTATATTTTTTAGACATTTATCACCTTATTTTGTCTAAGACAAGTTTAAGAACAACAACAACAAAACCCCCCACACGTTCTGAGACTCAAAAAAGACCCAAACAAAACTAAAGTACTGAAAATGAATGATTCAACTGCATCAAAGGACCTTTTCACTTGTTCTAATCAGAGTAAAAATTAAGAGTTTAATTTTTAATTTATGTAAGAAAAGCTTTGTTTTCTCAACTGTTTCACAACTAACCAATTCAAGCTCAAATGGGTGGTAGCTTGTTTTAAAGTCTTTAAGTTATTAAAGACCTGTAGAATGACACAGAAAACTGAAGAAAACAACAGTCTTTTAGTGCTGTTTCGGGGAGAAGATGATCACTATTTATGCTCAGTTTAATATTGAAGCTAGCAGTAAAACAAGCTGACAGCTTCAGTTACATTATAACTGAGCAATTAAGTATCAGAAGTCCCTGATTTTTAACCTGTCTTGGCTACACTCTGCAATTCCATAATTCTTTGCTTGTATTTACAACACTTCAAATACCTGTTGGCACCATTCTGAAGATCTGTTACTGCATCCACAACATGTAATACGAAGCTTCATGCAACTATAACTTTATTAACAGTATCTTGAAATACTCAAATATTACAAAACACTTCATAATGTAGAATATTAAGTTAGTGCTTTCCAATGACATTGTCGTATCTCAAAATGGATTTATCAGCCAATCAGAACCACAGCTATCAGCTACATTATACTTGAAACTTAACCTGAGAGCAAAACAAGTAACTGTATGCCTAGCTCACATCTGTTCAGCAGTAAAAGAATCTTTAACAACTCCTGCTACCGTATAGAGCAGTGTTTTTTACCTACTTCAGAAACAGTAATCTTCAGGCATGCCCATTTCACATTTGACATGCAAGACAATATTAAATTAAAAACAGCTTAGAAAAGCTAAACAAAACTAAATAGATTATATTTTCTTGCTAACTTGTAACAAATACAGTAAAATAAGCAAGTCTGATTGCTTTTCTTCATTAGATATACAACTTTATTCTATCCTCTAATATTTCAGGTCTGAGATACCTGGAAAACAGAAAAGCATTTACCGAGGGGAGTGTATCAAGTTCAACAACTGCAATTGTGTTGCAATTATATTATATGCAACTGCATATATTTTTAAATGCATTAATAAAAAGCAGAAATTATTACCCTAAGATTCAATTCCACTGTTTGTAAAATTCTCTCTACACTGCATAGCTGGAAGCTCAGACTTCAGTGGGGCAATATCTCCCCAGTAGACATGCAGGATGTAGAGGAATTAGACGTGCAGGATGGAGAGGAATTTATACAGCCTGCAGTGAAGCTCCGTAAAAGCCAAACTGGCCACATTAAACTAGTGTAAGCATGCCTGCACATGCTGTTACTAGACCTCCGCATTATCCTTAACTAAAATATGGTTTACACTGTAAGACTGTTCCCTGGCAAGGCCTGATTTATTCACAGTCTTTATTGCAGGATAGCTGCAGTGATTAGGAATTTAATTTTCTTTCTTAACCAGTGCAACTGTACCCAGATAATATTTAATGTGGGTGCTGTTACACCAGGAAAAAGTGCTTTAAATGCTCAGAACGTAACCCTGTGCTTATATGATCCTGGCAAAAAAAACATGGACACAAAAAAGCACTCTGAAAAATACACAGGCATGTCTATTAAATTAGATGAGAAATAATTTCAGCAAGGCTAAAGACTGCTTTCATGTAATCTCCTCCAAGATTATGCAGGTGCTTTACAGCATTTGCTATTCAATACACTTCATATAATTCTTTCGCTTGCATCATACCATGAATCAGAAATTGTCAAAGTCTTCTGGAGTCAAGTTCTTCTAAGAATTACAACAAATGCTATAAATTCAGTAGTCAAAAGACACTGAAAAATAAGGTTTCAAGTATGGAGACTGAAAAGTACTGTCAGTGTGACCCTTTCATTTAACTAGTTTGGTAGGAGTGTACATTGCCCAGCAATTTAAAGGAAGGGGAGGGAATCTGCACAGTACCAAGGAAGGAGCTAGGCTTTTGTTAGTAATTGGCAGTAGGACTGAAAGCAGATGAGGGACTTCCACTGACTTTGAGATATTTCTTAATCTAGGATACCATGCCACTGGACGTTTCCTTTTAATGGTTATAATCAATAACAGCTATTCTTGTTGTTATTGTTATTATATTCCTTCAAAATCAGCTTGTTCAAGATTGCATTTATTGGTTCTACATCTTATTAGCTTTATGAAATTTAAAAAAACAGGACACAGGTAGCCTCTCTCATACAGATGTAAAACAAAAATGAAAGAACATCCAAATCCAACCCACTGCATTCAAAAATCAATATCTACTTCTTAGAGCACAAAAGTGGAGCTTCCTAAAGAGGAGAGATCAACTGTCTCTACATCCTTCATTGTTTCATATTCTAGCATAACATAACCATGACTTCTCTTACCTGCTCTTTATTATTACTGTTCAATAGACCAGGTTTCTTTTTCTTTTTTATAGGACTTGTGGATGCATCTTGTGGTGAGTGGCCATTAGAGGAATGTGGAGGGCTGGGAAATTTCCTTTTTTGTGCTGTGCGTTCGGCAGAGCCAGGATCTATAACAGATACAAACAATACGGTTGAAGAGTGAATATCAACTGAAAATATTCAAACAAGGCTATGGTTCATCATTCACACTCTTTCACTGAACCGAATAAAAATTCTCAATTGTCTTTCACCCAGTCACTGAAAAAACTGGAAGCATAGACTTGCTGAGCAATGCCACTGATAGGCAAATTCTCAATATAGTAATTTAGATTAAATATTTTTTTCTTTTCCCACAGCATCCTGGCCATTCAGCTCATCTCAAATTTTATTATCATTTAAAGTATAATAATAATTATTTCTGTGGTTTAGCAGAGTGCTATGCGAATTTATGTCATATACTTTAAAAGCTGAGAAACAACAGGTCCTGACAGCTTTGCTCATGTAATTTAGGAACATAAGCAACAGAAGTTAAAACAAGGTAAGAAGAAAGTCAGTCCTAATCATTTATTTCTCCTATCTAAACTTATTGAAATATGTCAATAGAAAAAATGAAATTGGCCTATAGTTTGAAAATAAATATGCTACCTCAAATACTGCGTCATCTGTAGTACCGGTTAAATTGGGTTGTAAAAAGAGAAAATTAAGACAAGACTCCCAGGCAATTAGTAACTTGACAGCAAGATAGAGCAACAACAGAAAGTGACATAACTTTTCAGTGACTCTCACAGTCAGAGCTCTCACATTTGACCAAGCAAATTACAAGAGCAGTTTAGTAAGTCGCAGCTTCCATCTGTGCCTGAAGTTACCATCCCAAGTAACAAAGCTGGCAGATGGGAGCACGTGCCCATGTCTCAGTTGCTCATGGATTGTCATCTTAGTGTAAAATCATCATACCAGCAACTTAAGTAGCCCTGGTGGCTCTGAACTGCATTTTATGAGACATGTGCAAAATTCTTTAAAAAAATTAAAAGGAAATTGAGACATAGCTTTAGCAAATTAGTATCTGTATTGATGATCTTCATATCTGCTTCAGTCCTCCAATTATCCTACTTTATTTTAGTTCTTGAAAGATTTTTAATTCATCTTTACTTGATCACTATTTTGTGTTCATTAGAATATTCAGAAGGAATTATTTACAGCTTTAGAAGAGTTAATACACTTTAAAAAAAAAAAAAATCACTGACAAGCTTATCAGAAATATCCTACATAAAAGTAAGAGCATTTGTAATTGTAAAGTAATGCTGCTTTTCGTATTAATGCCACCTTAAGTTTTTTTTTTCCAAACAGTTTTTGGCAGCTATTTGACAGAAGCCAGAAGCAATCAAACCGCTGGTTGCCATAATCCTATATCCTTTCACTCCTGGATCTGTATTCTTGCCTTCCAGGCCTCACTGGGTGATGGGCTGAGCTGTCTCATGTTGCCAAGTCACAAAAACCTCTCTGAAACACTTCACCTTAAGTCTCCAACAAATATCAAAGGTACCAGAACAACCACCAGTAACTGGATCAACTTAACAGCACGTCTATTGTCAAGAGATTTAAATTAACTATAAATATCCTCCAAGAAATACCAGAAGTTCCCCAAATAGAAAAATTACTTAAAACCAGCATTAGCCCATTTCACATAGGCAGTGGACAAACACCTTTCTCCCACAAATGCCCCCAATCTGACTTTTAACTATTTATTGAATGAGACAATTTTGTTGAGCTGCAACATTCCTCTCAGGGAATGACTTTAACAGATTTAAGGAGTCTCACACACAATGTGGCCACTTTCTCATTAGACAGTCTTACAACTGAGCGAGTAAAACAGAGTTTAGCTTAAAACTGTATTCAGAATAATTCCCTGTCAAAGTGAAAAGTTACACTGAATCACATTCAAAAATAAGGTAATTTGTCACAAGGCACAAATCTTAGACGGTCTATGGCACAATAAAGAACTGGATTAGATGTCTACATGAGTTCTGTATTTTATGCAAATATGGGGGGAAACAGTCAATAAGGAGAAATAAAAATTGGTTGCAATAATGATTTGCACAAATGGAGATAAGATTAACAACCTATGCACTTTTCTCTAAATAGAAAACAAGTATGTGGAACGAGAGTTGAGCATGAACTGACAATGAACAATTGACTTTCTGTTCTGAAAAAGGGCAGATGATACTGATGTAAAAACAGGAGTGACACATACAATGTAATCTTGACATTAACCTTGGAATGCTTGCATATATGCTAAAGTTTATTGAAAATAATGTATTATTTAGTGGAAAGA